AACCATAAATATAGGAGGTCTGTCATACCAAACTGCGACACTGCCGTCAATATGCCATGAACTCATTGCATTAAGGCTGCACAAGTTCCCGGATGAAGGGTCATCCTATCTGTGATGAAACAGGATTGAGAGAACTTTATACGGTCCCTGAATACCGACAGCGTTAAGTGAGGACTACGGGCGACCCGCGGCGACACCGGCGACCTCGGTGACCACACGACGACGTTAATGTGATTAGCAGCCGGGTCAGCAGCGAGGGTGCGATGGCCGACCGGTGACTGGACGCAGCCTGTGGACAAGAATTACTATCTTGTTGTGGACATTATTAGAAGTCTGTCTGAAGTCAAACAGTGGTCATTTCCATTTTATTGTGTTTTGAATCAGGAGAGAATATTAACCGTTTTTACAAGATGCTCTGCAGATGAGCGAAATGCAGTGCAATCCTGTTATCGATCAGAATGTTACACAAGACGCTGTCGGAACAGACCCTGACAAAGGGAATTAGTTCTACTGTCAGGTTTCTGGGTTAGCGTAAGACGCTGATAATGCCGCGACCCAGATACAATCGAAAATGTCATCCCATCATCTCGTTTCTAACCTATGGTTTCACATAAACCCTTTCATCTCACACTATGGGATCGCATAAGATGTAGAAGCGTATTAATTATGCTTCCTCCTACAAAGGGCAACCCAAGGCCTGTACAGACACACAATGTCAGGTCTCGATGTCAAGGTCAGATGAAAGCGGATGCGTTCCCTGACGGCGTAACCTCTCATCATCCCCTCCGTCCATGCGTGATGAAACAACTTCAGTTCTGTCAGATGCATTTCGTACACGATAATAAATACTTGTCAACTGTCATCCCCTCGTTTGATGTCAAAAGAAGATGAGGTATGTTGCCACAGGCATACTTGTATATTAGCAGGATAAGGTGACGATCAATGCTGTCAATGTTGCCGCTTACAAAAGGGTTTTCATCCACTTTGGGATTATCAAAAACATAAAATGAAATATTTATAAACCGCTTTCTGAAATACCAAACATGGTACACCAACCTTCAAAACATATCTTAAGGAGAGAATCGAACTCAGACCCTTTCGACTAAGGGAATCGAAAACTGTGACAATGCCTAAGTTTAAAAGGCGCTATGGAATGAACCTGCTGATGGAGTCCTTAGATCGATCTGCGGCAACAGAAACGGATGTACAGCGTTCCGAACGAACGAACAAATGCACTGGCGTCTAAATCATCAGTATTTTCGGTTATGATACTGAAATATATGTTTCAAAATCACACTGACCCAAGATCAGTCAATGGCGTACAACATGGACACACCATGCCTGCGTCTCTTCCAGAAGCATCGACATTAATTTCTGTCGGTTCAACTCAGTTCCCTATGTATTTCCCGGAGAACATGTGGAGTGATGAGTAGGATTTGTCCTCACAACAGACGCCGTCGTACTGGGGCCAACCTGCCCCTCTCGCGAACAGCCGGTCTCAAATAAATACATGTTGCCATAGCAACATGGCGATTTCAGAAATTTGACATCAAAATGACCAGATGTAAACATTCCACTGAATCCATCACTACAAGATCCCCAACTCATCAAACTGTTGCGCAATCTTGGTTTTGAAACCACCTATACGTTAAACGCGGACATGAAATCACGTTTAACCGAATTTACATGACAGACCACATCCGTAGGCAACATCAAAACTTATTTGCTAGATCCTAGAGAACGCCATTGCAAGAAACATGTGAATCAAGTCACAATAAGGCACGATCGACAATTCCATTTGTACAAGAGAGAATGTTTTAGGAGCGTAGAGGCTTTTGCCGTAGATGTAGGTCACTGGGCCAAGTGCGTTTTCTCATATATTCTTTGCTTGGCCGAAACAGCTTCTCAAGACAGTCGTGTCTGAATGTCAGCACCACACACAACCCGAGCTGGGAGACGGGAGAATTGTTCTGTCATCGCGGCAATTACGATTTGTGATATAAATGATATCACGAATATGGGCAACCAAATGTTCCAATTCATCGAACACAGTGCAGTTCAAGTTAACCTGATCGGAATACACAAGATACAAAATGGTGTGGTTACGTTCTAAATGTGCCATGGAGTACGTAACCTAAACCATTTATTTCCATTTCTCGCTGAAAGTAAACCTAACAGGCTATTGATGTGCTTCAAGCCATAACCGCCAGAGGGGAATGAGAGATTTCCAGAGGGATGAAGCCGGACAAGGGTCAGCCGCGTCTCCAGTGGGATAATCATCTATCTGTTGAAGGCGTCATGGGCGGCTGATGTGTACGGCATCCCAGTGCAAGCTGTATCATACACAACGCCCTCTCTAGTTACTTCCACGGTCCAATCCAGCAGCTTCCTCTCACGGGCAGCGAGAGGGATTTGTAACTACGAATGGGATTAGTGGTCGGGAAATATGATGTACCGTGGGGCTAGTTCCAGCATTAGGCAGAGGACTTTGTCATATATGCTACTTATGGAATGACACTTGTGGGATCGTGTGCAGGATATCTGTGCCATGGGACCGAGGGATAAGGGGCCTAATGCTCAATAACGGTCATTTTCCGTATCACTTTACATCCAATTCTACAGAGGAACCGTAAGCCATCATTCAGTGGTGTGTGCAAGGTTATCATTGTCTAATTGTGTCAGTTCAGTTACTTGGGGCGGTGAGGTAGCCCAGTGGTTAAAGCGTTCGGTCGTCACGCCGAAGACCCAGGTTCGATTCCCCAAATGGGTAGAATGTGTGAAGCCCATTTCTGAAGTCCCCCGCCGTGATATTGCTGGAATATTGCTACAAGCGGCGTAAAACTAGACTGACTCACTCACTCACACTCAGTTCAGTTACTTAACTGGTTACATTCGCATGGAACCCTACCGATTTCAACTCAGTTTTTTATGACCACGTTCGTCACATTGAGATTGGATTCAGCCACCGTCGTGTTAAGGGATACCCTCCAGTGTCGACGGAATTATCCTTTGTTGACTTGAGCAATTTCATTTAGTCGGAATTACCGTATGCCGACTTATATAATGTCGTGTCACTTGTGAAGCCGTATGTCGCCTATTTGTAAATCAGCTTCGGATCTTTAACTTTGACACCATCCTTTTGTTGTGTAGAAAGATCTAATGTTGAAACCTAGACTATGTGTACCCTCGTGAGAGTTCGTATCACCAGCTTCAATCTTTTGGGTTTAACGAAGCCATTGATGATAATCAGGATTATTTAAACATGAATCGCTCAAGACTCTCAAGAATAACAATATACCATTAATCAGCGCTACTTCATGTCATGCACATCACAGAGGCACGCCGACCTCGCAGTCAAGTATCCTGGCTACGTCATATCATGCCTTCCGTACTCCCTCAAACGACTTCACCGACACCCACCGGTAGTGCGTGACAAGATACCGAATTTCGAGCCTTTGGTAATGCATTTACACACGTAAATCAGGACTGGGTTTTATCCAGGCTGTCCTGAGCTCGATCCCAATCGCATTACCACCGATAGAGCTGTTTGTGGCGACAGATTGTACAGAACCACTAACGGTGGTTTATTTCCGTCAGTTGCTCCAGCAGTCTGGGAGACCTGGGACCACCGCCATGTGTGACACGTCTCAGTATAGTAAGTTGTTCAACTGAAGACAACTGAATTAACTAACGTTTGGTTGTGATGACAGATATATTCATCTGTCTGGGAAGAATTCGTCATGCCACAATCACTGGCCTTGTTTGTTTTGGTTTTTGTCTGTGCCTAGCATCTGTGACAAGAGATATTTACACATGTTTCCAGAGTAGACAATTTCTGTGAAGTGGAACCCAAACCTTTTTAAATATGTATAGCCAGTCCGGTCATTGGTATTGCAGTATACGCAGAGACATGCGTAAAGCGCTACATTATTATAACCCCCGTCAATGGATCTGTCTGTCCACCATTCTCAGCTCCTTGTGGAGTATAGCTGTTCAATTCTACAGCAGTGTAGATAAAAAGATTACTACGTGAGAGAGTCTGTCAGATTAAATTTATCTTAGAACGATCAGTTTCAAAACATGTTTATAGAGAGAAAGATCAATGGTGTGTGGAAAACACGACGTTTGTAATCAGGTTTTTTTTGCACACTACAGTCAAACCATTTTAGCATCGACTCAAAGATTGTTTGTCTATTCTAAAGATCGCAGTGGCGCATTAGTACTTAATGCAATGTTCATGAATGACGACATCCGGCTTGCCGCTTACTACTCAGGCCTTGTGTGACCTTCCACAAAAGAGTCCCCCAAAACGTAGATTTGAAAATTCAAACCAGATACGATCAAAGACGTGTACTTACTCTCTGAAGTACATTTTCGACACAGGCGTAGGTGATTTCTACCGGAGCATGAGAAACCTATCCAGGAACGTTGTTCCTTATAATCTGACCTTTGACCTTCACCAAGGATCAGACAATAGCGGACCTGGAACTTGTTCTTGTGCACATGGTCACGCTAGTTCTTACAGATTATGAAAAAGCGGTTTCTGAGTCAGAGGTGTTAAAGAAAATCAAATACTTGTAACTCGGTCGCGATTCCGTGTTACACCGAACACAGGTTGACATCTTGTCTTTGTCTTCCTGTGTGTCGTGGGGAAACTTCTGGGGGAATTACAACAGCGTGACACTGATCGCCCAGCGTGTGGTTTTGCCCTTTACATGATTTCGTTACTGTACACGTAAGCAGATAAGACGTGATGGGTATCGACAAAACATCTAACATATCGTCTTATACCCTCATCCTTGACAGCTACAATATATATGCATGTATAAGCTAATTATCCCAGTCGTAAGTGGTTCCCACGAACACTTAAACCTTTCACTCTGATTCGATCCTATCAGTACGTTTCTACACCTGGGGAATGAAAGCAAAGGAATCTGACATGGTGTCACAAATCTATCATGGTACGAGTAAACAGCATTGACAAACGGGAGACAACTTACCCTGACGTCGCTGATATCGTTGTAGTGTATCCCCGCGTGTTTGCCTGCGATGAAGGCGGCGAGGTTGGCAGTGTAGCTGGCAATGATGAAGATAGCTGCAAATGCCCAGAAATTCTGCATCACCTTACTAGGCCACGCCTTCGGGGACTTTGTCTTCACTGTGTGCCCAAACAAAACAGAGTACACCATGGTCAGACCTGAGGCCAAGGTATAGTTGGCCTTCCTCTTCCGCCCCCAAGGGTTCAACCCAAACGGACTATTCCACTCAAAAATACCCATAGCAATGGCAGTCAACGTCGCACTAACAAAAATAGCAAACCACACATCAATGGAAAAAGGCTCGAGAAACGCATCCATGTTTGTTTCTCGCGTCTTCTCGGAGTACATGATGGAAAAACCGGAGAAAAAGTATGGATCCGTGAAGTCAATGGCTTTTGTTCTTGGTTTTGTAATACTGAAAGCCCCAACAGCGAAATGAGCCGTGCCCTCAATAAGATCCCACATCATACCGCTCCAGGTGCCGTTCGTCATTGTCCCGTATGTCTCGTCCTGGACGATATACAAGGTAAAATCGAAGTCCAAATCACTGGCCAGTTTGTTGAGGAGGTCAATGGTCAGTCCTCGGCAACAGTGGACAGTATAGGTGTTATTCTCGTTCATGACCCCCCTCTCATAATCCTCTATCGCAGCCATGGCCATGGACTTATTTTTGGAGGTGATGTTCAGACATGTTGTATCAGTTAAACATGCGCTATAGTCGGCGTGAGGTTTCTCTTGCATAACGAAGGGTTGTACGGGATTGGTCACCACCCGATACTTCTTTTTCCCCGGTGGCTGGGAACTGATGAGATTTGCCTCCCCTGGCCAGATAATGCCGAAAGGGCGGATGTCGTCACCTTGAACACACCCAATATCCCGCCACACGTTGTTTTTCCCATCGAACACAAGATTCCTCACACGTAATTTGATAGTCTTTAAGTTACCATCCATGTCGAACTGGAGGGCACCCGTCTTGCCATATATTGCAGTTTCATGCAGCGCTCTGAAACATACAAGCATAGTCAGTCAATGTTATAGGAATATATATCAATCAATACGCCATACCAAGAATTGATTTATTCATTCGTTGTTTAACGCCGCGCAATATTTCAGCTTTATGACGGCGGTCGGTAAATCATCGAGTCTGGACCAGACAATCGTGTGATTAACATCATGCGCATCATTCTACGCAATTGGGATACCATGACATGTGTCTGCGAGTCTGACCACCCGACCCCGTTAGCCGCCTTTACGACAAGCATGGGTTACTGAAGATCAGTTCTAACCCAGGATCTTCACGGGTCAAATGGCAAAAGAAAATATACACCCTTGTTTGATGGTGGCTTCAAATGAAACAAACAGGAATAGTTATTCTATCATGGTGATGTACTGGATACAGGCATGTATCATAGTTTTATTTACCTTAAGTTCGCATTGGCCTGGCGACAAGTAACATTTTACATAATGATTATAGTATGCTCTCTCCTGCCTATTTTATATGAATATATCTCTCTGCAGGAATAATATTCGAATTACGTCTCATTAATGGGGCAATAACTTCTTTTGCGTTTATTTTGATAGAACTACGACTTGGTGAGCGGCTATAATTTGAGTCACTGAGACAAGATTACAACATAATTTCCCCAATGTGGACACAACATGTTACAGCATAATGGTAGCTCAGAGGATGTTTTGTTTGAGGAGTGGCGAGACTACGAGAATTAATAATCGGTTCTACCGTAATTTTGGAATTTGGACTGGTCAGGCAGAGGTTCTCAAATCACATTACACTTCTCGTGACTGAGACAGTTAATGTGACGGTCGCATCACCGCATCATGGGGGAAGCTAATATTCAGATATACATTTTTTAATTCATTGTCGGTACGTATATTTAAATGAATAAACATATATAAAATTATAGTTGAGTTGAGTTGGGTTTTGCGTCACATCGGCATTATTCCAGCCATATAGTTTGCATTACTAAACATTGTACTGAACGTGAAGTTCAAAGGATGTGCAGAAAACACGATGGAAATCTACAAAGGACAGCTTGGAATCCGGCGTATTTCTACAGGTTACTGCGACGTCATACCTTCTGCGTCACAATGAGCGATACGACATCAAAACGGTACCTTTGCAGTTTTCATTAGGTGTACAAATCTCTTGTGAACTAAATTTAACCTATGAAACCTGAACCAAATTGGAGTATATGTCACAAGACGAAACATGGAATCACCAGAGCCGTGACATAACTAAACACGGGCTGACGTACAGATGATAATATCGTGACAATAACTAAACACGGACTCACAGATGATAATATCGTATCACCAGGGCCTTGACATAAATAAACACGGACTGACAGTTGATAATATTGTATCACCAGGGCCGTGACATAAATAACACGGACTGACAGATGATAATATCGTATCACCAGAGCCGTGACATAGCTAAGCCCAGACTGAATGAATGAGATAATATCGTATCACAGGGCCGTGACATAACTAAACAAGGACTGACAGATGATAATATCGTATCACCAGGGCCGTCACATAAGTAAACACGGACTGACAGATAATATTATCGTATCACCAGGGACATGCCATAACTAAACACGGACTGACAGATGATAACATCGTATCACCAGGGCCGTGACATAACTAAACACGGACTGACAGTTGATAATATCGTATCACCAGGGCCGTGACATAACTAAACACGGACTGACAGATAATAATATCGTATTACCAGAGCCGTGACATAACTAAACACTAACTCACAGATGATAATATCGTATCACAAGGGCCGTGACATAACTAAACACGGACTGACAGAAGGAGATGAAAATGTATCACCCTAAGTACGATCTAACTGATATATATTTCATGATGCACGTATGATATTGAAACATGTATTATCAAGAAAATACTACTATGTTATGATGACAATCTCCCAGAGGTACACGATGTTATTATATGTGTTTATGGGGGGTGCCACCGGAAAGGCAGGATACACTCACAGTTTCACGAATATCTGGTATCAATATTTGATAGTGAGTCATAAACACATGCTAATGACATCGTCCAAATCGTAAAACTGACGGAGATTACGGATGCAGAAAGGGATTTGTCGCTTTACTTGCATGAAGTTATTAAGGCTAATACAACTTTAGTACTAAAGGTGCATGTGTGCATTATAAACCATTTTCGGTAACAAATATAACATCAACAACAGAATACCGCTACACAAAGGGCATCTTCCACACTCACTGCACACTTAAGGCCAACATGGCAGGAAGTATTGGCTGGACTCGGTGTGAAGGAGGCACTTCAACCACGTCCCCTAATTACAAGGGGATTTAGTGACCAGTATCCTGATCTCTGTCAACTATTCAGGACAGGGGATAAAGATGCTTGATTAACTACAAACACTGGCTTGTTTTGATAGTTCCTCTAACGCTGACCCAAAAGCACTCGGGCACACTGGTTTTGCGTGATCGTTATGGCAACGACATATGAGAGAATAAGTGAAATCCCGTCGGTATAACTGCATGATTAACAGGTGTCGTGGTCCTCCTACAACACTGCCGAGTTATTACAGATTTCTGGGGCACAGACAACAACCTGTCTGTTTGGGCTGTGTGAGGATATATTATATTTTGCGTTGTACAGCGCTGCATCTGACAACTAAAGTCCTGAATCTGACAACGTAGTGTAATGCATCTGACAAAGTAAAGTACTGCATCTGACAACTGAAGTGCTGCATCTGACAACGTAAAGTACTGAATCTGACAACGTAAAGTACTGAATCTGACAACGTAAAGTACTGCATCTGACAATGTAAATTGCTGCATCTGACAAGGTAAAGTGCTGCATCTGACAAGGCAAAGTACTGCATCTGACAAGGTAAAGTGCTGCATCTGACAACAATGGTGATGTTTCTGTTTAGAAATATAAGCGACAAAACCCTTTCCAGAAAGCGTAATCCCAAAGATAACATATGTTACATTGGACCTTTTTATATGGCATTGTGTATTCTTACCTGTCCGTATTCATAAGAAATTGTACGATTCCTTTTCTATCATGATCCTACATTATGACTATCGAACAGTGATAATGCCAGGTGTTCACAAAAAAGGTGAGTGTATCCTGCCCACTGATGGCGTCCTCATTAATACATAGAAAGGCAATCGTTAAGGTAAAACCCCAAGACATCATTTTTGTCACGATGAGTCAAATTTGGAAATGTCCTCCAAATGTCAGCCATAAAACCTACTCAAAGATTTACAGAGACTGTAAATGATGTATTTTTACCAAGCGTCGTATGACGCACTTTTAAAACTTAGTAGAAATAGCATGCTCTGTTGCACCTCCAAGTGCAGACACTGTAGGCCTAAACAGCTGGAATATTGCTGGTTATACTGGGAAAGTTCACGTCATCCTTTTGTTCAGACAGTTTTGCTAAACGTTGTTTTGTACGATATGGACCCTTCTGTACAGAATCATCAAAATTCACGTGTGTATATTACAAATACCATACTAGTAAATTTAGCATTGGCATCTCGAACTATGATACTGAATAAAGTATTGACTGATTGAGTTCTAGTTCAGATAGTAACGTCCCTGTCAGATTGTTCGGTCTTGACACGTTTCACGTTTCTTGTCACGTCTTCACTGTGCTTACACTCAAATTGAAACATGACTGTCTCATTGGTGTTTTCTAATAAAAAAAAACAGCGATGTGTTCAAAAGATCATTCACTCACTCGCTCTTTATTCTATGTCTTCCACCTTAGTTACATTCGTATTTTCTCTGCAACAGCCAATACATAGTCTACTTCCTCTTTACATAGTGAGCTGTGTTACTTCACAGCTATGTAACCTGGTTAGACGACACACACTTAGCCAGCCTTGTTACTCATTATCAACAACATCCATAACTTAGAACTTTGTTACACACCACTTCAAAACCTTGGTATTCTATGAACCATTACTTGTTAGCCCGGCTGTTGTTTGCTTTCTCTCAATGATTGTTCGGGCTTATCTTTGTGTACCCCGTTTTTCATTCATATTCTCAGAGAAAGTATTGATTATTAAACTCCTGTGGGAGATGTTGTCAAAACCTCGGAGCCGCTACAATGGTGCTTGACTGTAACGTCTTGGTGGCAGGATCAAGGTCATATAAATCACAGAAAGTCACGTCAACTTGCGGAGTGTGGAGGCACTGGGGGCTATTTCTGCTGCGGGGACGCCAGGGATGGGAGACAGGATGTGCTTCCAGAAACACGCTTGGGCCGAGGCTAGGTTTTTGGCTGCAGAGACAATAGCTGTGGTGCGTACATTCAGCTTGATTTGGAATGGAAATCTATAATTTCCATCAGTTCAGATAGGTGGATATTCCGCTCGTACAAACAACACGTACCATCCTGGGTGAAGATAGAGAGCTCCTCTAGCCAAAACAAAACAACATGGCGACTCCGTGACATGGTGTATGTGGTAGGGTTCTACCCACAGGGTCTTTGGCAGGGTTTTACACAGCTGTCTGTCTATAGTGAGGATACGTTGTGCCCCCATGCCTTTCCACGCTGTAGACAGGCAGACAGTACGCTCAGTCGTGAAAGATAAGTGAACAGTAAGGTCTTAAGAGGTAAACCTGTCATCTGTCAGACCACAAGGTATGCACACTCAATTTACATACTGTTCACGAGAAGTTTAGAACTACACGAATGTTCATATCACAGTACTTAATCTGTTAAAACGTCCTGTACTTCTTTCAGAAGCACAATTCTAACAGCCTTTATTCGTCGAATCATACCCAAATAGATATTTGATACAACAAAAATCAAATATTCCCAAGCCATAGTATCCACCTACTTATTGTCGGGATCCTACAATTCCTTTCTTGGAGATTCCTCAGATGTTTAGAACCAGCAATCATTGTGTCATGGTAGAACTAGGAGCACTGACTGGAAGTAAGTCCAGAATCACTGCTTGAGACTAACGA